ACTATACCTGATGGATAATCCAATGTTGCAGGATTTGACAAGTAAGGTCCCTGCTGATTTGTTTGTTTATTTTTTTAACAACTGTAGGCAATTTGAGTGTTTTTTTTTTTTCATAATATACAAATATCTGCTAAGGGACAGTAAGAAATCCACTGTATTTAGTCCCTTAAAAGAGAAGGCTCAGAACTGACTTGATTATCATTTTTAATTACCTGCATGGGGAAAAGCAGTGCAGAATTGTTACACTCTGTGGTCCAAGGACACCTGTAGGGTATTTCCAAGTGGTCACAAAGCCCTGGAGAAGCACAGCCAGATCCTGCAGGCTTCATTTTTCTCTGCACGGTTCTTAATCTCCAGGGGAATATTTTTAGAATTGAACAAATTGAGAGAGGTTGAAGGCCACTCATGGGCTGGGAGCTAAAGTCAGCCAACAACAAACTGGAAATAAATTACAAAGTTTCATTTTGCTTAAAACAGTAATTGTAATTAACTGTTGCTCTGCATTATACGGTGCTGTGGCAAATTTTCCGGATTTGATTAATATAACCTTTCTAAAGATGTGCTTTAATTCATTGCAACTTGCTGTTCTGCATGAGGAAAATTCCACAGCCTTTCCTGTGGAGGAGGCTATATTAGATTATGAAAATAACTTATTCTGCCCTTAAAGGCAATTAATCCACATTCAGCTCATTTTTATCACAGCCTTTGAGCAAGTCACACACCACTCCCGGGGTGTGGTGGTGCAGCAAGTGAGATGATTCACTCCATTTCCAGAGGTCTGAGTTGGCACTTCCCTCCAGATCTGTGCTTCAGAAGGTCTCCTTTTGACCCCCATGTAACTGAGGGGCAGGTTCTAAGGCTTTCTGCTCAAAAGTCTCCAAATGGGATTTTAAAGTTATAACTACTTTTAATGCCATTTTTCGTAGACAGTGTTGTGCCCCTCTGAGTCTCAAGTCATCTTTGAATTTCACCTCGCTTCATTCAGAGAGGACTTAGGAAATGCCATTATTTTTGTTGGCACATTGAAGAAATACAAAATTGAAAATAACTGATATGAGAGAATCTTTTAATATGTTTATTTCACTAAAATTAAAAAAAAAAAAAGCCAAAAATGCTTTCAAGCATTTCAATCAAGACAGCATATGGAGAAGGAAAATGAAAGACACTCTGTTTTTATTTCACTGATAAAGCACAAAAAAACTATTACAGGAAAGACTATAAAACTCCAATAATTGTTCCTGGAGGTTTGGGACTGTGGCAAGGATCTTAAGGCACTAATTTTTGTTATATATCTGACATATTTACCACAAGCAAAATTAAGATTAATGGCATATGTTTTGCAGATGTCAAAAAAAGGGAGTAAATAGCGTAAGGAAAATATAAATAGCAGTGTTAATTATGCAATCCATTCTTTACTTCTACATGGTTTCCTTAGGAAAAGAAGTTACATATCTGGGAAAATATTTGGATTGCGGAATGTTGCAAAGTTTTTTTTAGGTTCATTAATTTGTAAGGATTATAAAATAGACAACTAAACTAAATCTATAAGCTAAAGGGCAGAAATGTGGTTTTTAATTTGGTTCTAAAAAAAAGAAGGTGCTTGAGCTGAAGATGTAGCAGTCCTAGTAACTAAAAAGAAATATCGGCTTTTATGAGGTGACAATAGTATCTGGAAAAATGAAAAAAAAACCCAAACCTAGCCCTCTCAAAATATAGATTTGAGGTGGTGCAGCCAAGATGAGTTAAATCAAAAGATGATCAAACACCCTCCCTTCTAACATTCTGTAAGACAGGACAAGTTAGACTGTAAAGCCAAAACAGAGCTAAAAGCAGTAGCACAGTCTAAAATAATATAGCTTTTATGGAAGTGAGCAATAAACATTATGGAAGCAGGGTATCAGCAGACTATGGTGCACCGCCCTTCAAGCAAATGAAAAATTAATTTGTTAGAAACTAAAATACTGATGACTCTTACTTCAATGCTTAAAGGAGCTTAATCTTAATCTTCTTAATGAAGAATTGACAGTGGTTGCTCACACAGAGTTATACAAATAGTAGAGCTCCTCAGGACATACAGTCAGAATTTCTAAGCCCATTTAGATATATTTGTTTCTAATATATTAGTCCAGTTAATTATGATATAAAATATTTGGAAGGGACAAAAGTGGACAGCTGTACCTCTGGATGCCGCTGTTTCTTCAGAGAATGAGATATACATCATTACAGTGATGGATATTTGAGATAAAAATTATACAGTAATACTATTATATGTGTTCCAGAAAAAGCTTATTTACAGGCACACATTTTAAGGTCAAGAGGAACCAGTAAGGTCAGAAGAAGACATATGTTTTGATCTTCTGCATAAAAAATCCTGGATTTTTTGCCAGTAAGGTCTGCATCAAGCCTGGAATTTCTCTAGAGCAGCTCAGGTCATAAAAATTTTTCTTCCATTTTCTAGTAAAGTAAGTACAGAGAAACATCACAGTGTGAACAATGACAATCCCTAACTAACTAATGACTAACATCTCCAAAAATGGAACAGGTCCTGCTGCCATATTTTGTCCCATTAGCATTTTTCTGGCCTTTGGTGCTTTGATTGAAATAATGCTGAGAGCTTTGGCTTCCATTAAAAAATTTCTTGAAAGTATTGACTTTGACCTCTACTACCCTCATTGTTTAATGAAGAGATAACATAATTATCAGAAATTCTAAGAAATTAACTTTTTAGACTAAGTTGTAGGATGTCATTAGGACTGAAGATGATGCTGTAGACATGGCTTTTCAGGGCATGCTCTAGTGCCCAGGATTATTGGTTTGTGGGTGGGTGTGATGTGATGGGGTGTTGTGTGTGTTGTTGGTGTGGGGTTTTTTGTTTGTTTGCTTGTTTTGTTTTTTTTTTTTGTGGTTGGACTCGATGATCTCAGAGGTCCCTTCCAACCACGGTGATTCTGTGATTCTATGGTTGACATAGCACCTAATGTAGGATGCCAAACTACAAAGTCTCATTTGTGGTTCTGTTTTTTCCTCTTATTCCCCAGCTGCCACAACCTAGTTATTTATAACTATTTTTTCCATCATTCAGAAGGGAAATACTTAGATGTGAACCATTTTCATACTGCACAACTTGTGAAGTTTTACACTTCCAGCAATGCAGATTAATCACACTCTTCCCTATGCCAGAACTCCCTACATTTTCTTTGATTCACTTGCAAAATCTTCTGTTTTCCTCAATTTTTTTTGCTGAAATCCCCACTGTGTCACAGGATTAATATCTATGTGCGCAGCTGGGGAGTAAGTTTGCAAGTGTACATGAGTGAGCAGCCTTGCAGCAGCAGGTCACTTCTGAAAGCCACCCCTGAGGGCTGGCAGCAGAGAAGGTCTCCTCAGGAGTTGTATTGTTTTCCACTCAGTGAATGTGCCACGAGCTAATGGGAGAGAAATGCTAAGAATCACTTCTCTGAGATTTATGAGCCAAGTGAATTGTTTTCTTTGCCCTCTTTATTGTAGCTGAATGGATAAAATACTAATAATATCGCACTTTGAGCAAGAAGTTGAGGCCAGAATAGTCAAAATGTTACTCATCTGATTGGAGCACGTCAATTTTATATGAGGGACCAACATTAGATGTTCTTTTTAGTGTGTGGATACACGTAACTCACTTCAGTTCAAAGTGCAAGCATGTAACGCCAGACTTTGTGCCAACACATTATGTGTTTCTGCAACACTCTCCCAAATAGCTGTTTCTGTAAAATAGAAGCATTTGTGTTTTTATACCTTCTAGCTATTCTGTCCAAGTCAAATATTAAACGGACAACATGAAATTAGCGATTATTGGTCTCCAAAATAAATATGTTTGACGTGATAGAAGCATTTGAGGCATTTATAAATGCATCATCAGTGTCTAAATATCAGTTACTTGTCATAATACCTAATATTTACTTCATTTTCTCCTTATAAGCTCCTTGGGAATGAAGGCATTTTTCATTGTTCCTTACAATCCATCTACTATTTGCACAGCCACTCAGTGTCATTGTCACAATTTGCTCCAATCTCCTTCTTTTGCTCTGTAAGTTTGGGGTGTCTCAATGTATAAATATCAACAAGCAAATCTTTCAGCATCTTTCTCCTTTTTTCTTCTCTTTCTTCTCTGCTTCCTTCCTCTTCATCTAGCCCTCAGTGAGAACAGAGTTATTGGGGTAAGGAATTTTCCTTGCCAGGGACATTTACAGGGACTGTTCTGCAACGAAGTGCTAGAACTTTGCTCTGGAGCCTGAGATCTGCAACATTTTTGGAGAATCATGATATCATGGTGGTTTGTGTGCTGAAAAGCTGCCCAATTTACTGCTGGTCTGTTGATTAAGAGACTTATGGTTTGGAATTAGGAAGAGTAATTAGATCCAGAAGCAAGCGTGGATACATCAAAATGTACACAGCCCTGGAGTGCTGCGTTCCTAATACCCGTATCAAACAGATCATGGTGTCTGTGGCTTCCCTTCCCTTCTTCAGTGAGAGTTAGAGACAAAGTAGGAATTACTGTAGGAAGCTCTTGGTCTAGGAAAAAAAAAAAAAGATTGTCTTTGGAATAAATATCACACTGAAAACTTTCCAGCCTAAGCCTTTCATTAATTTCTCTGTGTCATCTTAATATATTTAAACTCTGTAAAAAATTCTGCTGCAAAAAGTTCTCCGTAGGAGTAATTTTTCCTCAGCTGAAGTGCATACCTTTCAAATTATAAACTTCCTACTTGTCCTAGGAAAATCCTCACTGTATAAATAATTGAACTCATCTGCAGGGAACACAAGTATTCTGTCTCTAGCAGGCTAAAATATATGCCTAAACACACATCTTGTGCTTAGTGCTTTAAATAGGAATGACTCCCGTGAAGTCACTGGAAGCCCTTAAAAGGGTTTGACAGTTTCCCCACAATGTTGCAGTGAATGCAGTAGCCGGGCTGCGCGGGGCTCCATCCACTGATAATTCAGCAGCTGAGGAACTCGGCAAAGCCCGCTCCAAACTTCTCAGCTGTTGACAGGCTTGACTTGCTGAGAACACTGGTTAAATATAGCACAAACGGGCTGAGCTCAACAAAGTCATCGCTGTAACACTGTGTGAAGAGACCAGAAGAGGGGAAATACAATCTGAGAACTAAACTGCCAAAGCCTAACACCACCTAGCAACAGTTGAAAAAACTTTTAAACAAAAGTGGGGGTGAGCCACAGACAGAGCATACCTCCTGCTCCTCCTGCCTGGGATTTCTGCGGGAGGCAGCTCCGCTCTTCTGTTCTCTGCCCCGTTTCCTTCATTGCTTCAGCTGCTGGTAGACCCAGAAAAGTGGGGAAAGTTTCTCTCTCTGTGTTCTCCTGGGCTGGATCAGTCTGCTCCTGCGGGACGAGCTTCTGGGAGCTTTTACTGCGCTCTAAAGGAGATATTCCCAGGGTCGTGTTGCCCACAGGTAAGGCTGAGCTACCCACTCCAATGCACTCTTTTTAAGAGAAGTGATTTACATTGCTAGTGACTATTGTCTCTTTCCCTCTATGAACAGTCTTCTGCATGATTTGGAGATGTCAGTAGATGAAAGCTGGGATAAAAGTTTTAGATATTTTTTTCTTTTTACACTTTCATCACAGGAAAACATTGCTTAAATAACTTTTGCAGTTGTTAGAGCAAGCATAATCAAGCAGCTAGCAGTAATATGGAGAGATGGGTATAGAATTGGACATGTATCTTGCTTGTATCTGCTCACATGCTGGCAGAAGACAAACCAGCATGTAAGAATAGAAAGCATATCGCTCCTTACCAGTGATAGCCTAGCAGCTATTAGAAGCAGTGACAGCCTGGGTGATAACTGAGAGGAAATAGCCATTCAGTAACTGAATTAACTGAATACTTTGTGACCCAGCGCATTTGTACCTTTTATTTCCTTAGTAACTTTTAGCAGAGGCTCACCTGATGCCTTTGGTGCTACTCCTGGGGCAACAGCTCTTGGTTCTCTCTTACACTTATTTACATAGAATGAATATTAACCTCTGCTTGATTGATTAGCTGCATAATGCAACCCTCCTAAAGACTGACCTCATGTTTATTGTAGCCAAGTGTGCCTGAGCTGGGTTGTTGTTAAAGTGTTTGTTCCTTTTAGCAAAATAAATGAGAAACTGTTTCTCAGCTGTTTTACCCCGACAGCAGAATGGCAGCCTGTGTATCTGTTGGAAATGCATATCCTGCCCTCCTGTAACGGTCACGTCACTTAAGGCAGGAATTGCTTAGTGTGATTTGTTTTGTTTGAACTGACAAAAGCTGTTTGGTCAACTGAAGAATGAACCCCCTCCACTCCATCTTTTAAAGCCATTTTCTCCAAACAAAAGAAACGGATTTTTAAAAGACGTACTGATTATGAATTCATATGCAATATGAATTCAGTTATGAGGGCAAAAATCTAAAGAATGCGCTTAACCCCTCAAAAACCCTGTTCACAGATTTATGTGGAATTGTCTCAGATGAAAAATATTTGTCCTAAAGAAGGAGCGGACGGAGTGAGTCTACGCTGACTGTCTGTGGTGTTTGACACAGTCTGGGGACTCTGGGGACTGCCTCAGGAAGATGAGAAGGTCTTGCTTCAGCTGAATAGTTCTAGTTTCATCCCTGCATATTATATAAATGACATCAATACCACATTTTAGCAGTGACATGCTCGCAGATTGGATGAAATTAAAGTACTCTGAAGTAACTTTGACTTGGTGGCTGAGAACGTAACCGCCTGTGAAACAATAAGATAAATGAAACTTTTGGCTGGAGGAAAATTCTTAGAAACAAAAATAATGTAGTTTACATTTTATTTCATACCACTTAAGCACTAAATAAGAATGCTCTTTGGTGGCCATGATTTAATGCGATAATGATTACTGTGGAATTACTGCAGCACTATGGTATCCCAAATCCAAATCTCCAAAGGAAACTGTGGTATTGCTTTTTAATATAGGCATATCCCGAGAAAGTTATTTTTTTGGAAGAAAGCTGTACAGTGAGAACTAAAACAGAGACAATATGATTTGTACAGTTTTTGTCATCTTGATATTAGAGTGAAAATTACTGTTTGTTATTTAGACTGAGTTAACTGGCAAAAACTGTGGAGAAATGGCAGATTTGATTTTCTGAATATATAGGGATGACAAAATCAAGGAAAATGCTCTGCTAATTATTGGCTGCTTTTTGGAGTGATTTGTTGCTCGGCATAATGTATGGTTTTACAGTTTTACTTTTCTTGCACAACTTACTTTTAGCAAAGTTGTTAAAAGCGAAAGGCAAATTTATTAGTCTGACAACTATCAAATGAAGTCCCTTTTGAACAGTCTGATAGCAACTTCCAACGGGAACACAGGGAGTTGTGGTTTTACATACATCTGTCTTCCTTTCCACTTCAAAATGGAGGAGGCGGCTAAAATTACTCTTCCCAACAGGTGTCCACAAAGAGGCTCTGGGATTTTCCAATCAAATCTGGGCAATCCGCAATGTGGCTATTCAACAGATGGCTTCATATTTGAAGAATAGCCAATTCTACTAATGACTACAGTGAAACCAAGCTCAATTTTATATCAAATCAAAAAGTAATTTAGGTTTTGGCGATACACTCCATTGTAGAGATTTTCTTGGAAGACAAGCAGACATAGAGTACCCATTTATGTTCCCCATTATATATGATTTTGATTTTGTTTATATTCCACAACTGTGGAATGAATGGTACCTTTCACGGTGCTAAAGCCTGTGTGTTCCTCCCAATCTGAATCCACCTCCAGCCTCTGCCTGTGATTCCTCTTTCACCTTCATCACAGCAATAGTATAATTTATGGCCTCTTTTAGCCAATTTAGCCGTAGCTAATGTCATCATCTTAACTGAGTGTTTTGTCGTCACCTCGGTCTTTCAGTCTCTTTATAGAACACCTGGTTCTTTTTAACACCAAGTTCAAAGACTTGAAGTTCATCTTCAAAGCTCAGCTCTGTTCTGTCCTTGCTTACATCTGCCTTGATTTTCCCATACTCCTCCTGTTCGTGTCTGGGGGACTATTAACCTTCAGCTCTGGAGTTAACTGGTCCATCCTCTGGGCTACTGGCTTTAGTAAGCTTGTGATTGACCCAATGACATAGGAGTTTTTTATAGCACCTCTCAACGTAGCACCCAACACTAATAGCACAGAAAGACTAACCTTGTCTGCTACCAAAGCTATGTCGACCAAGGCAGGGCTCCTGAAGACACACTTGTGCTCCTGGAAGCAGCTTGTGGAGTAACCATAAGAATATTGGGAAATCTCTAATTTCACTCATATGCCCTCTTTTTTTCTGCTGGGTCACAATTTTGCCAGTGTCACCATTTCCAGACTGGAAGCTTTTCACTGATACAGGTGCATCAGTAAAACTCCCGATAGAGGGTCTTACTGTTGGCACAAATTCCACACACGTGTAATTGAAGGCTTTTGGAAATCCCATCTAACCCAGTTGATGTGCCCCCAGGCATAAATTAAGAATGTGCCTCGGAGCTGTGCTGACTCAGATGCCAGGTTTATGCCACTGAATTTGGAGTGAGATTTCCTTTGAGTTTAAGAAGATCAAGTCTTAGCATTCAATAATTAACAGATAAATTTCCAGCCCTCTCATTTAACAAAACGGATCATCTGTATTCCTGTCCAAATATTTTTTTTCCTAAGAGACATTTTACTTTTTCTCTAATTTCCTGTTTCTTCCCTTCCTTTCTCAAGGTTTGTTGTTGCACTTTGCCATACTATTTTAATAGACAAACTGAATTTGGGGGCAGGGATTTTGTCCTTCTACGTGTCTAAAATGCCATTTGGAGAAATAGAGCTATAATATTTGCGAAGAATCCAGATAAAACAACAAGACAAAGGAGAAGGAATTCCATGTATTCATACTTCCCATTTCACAAAAAATATTTAGTATATGAACTGAAAGCTAGAAAGATAAAATAGTATGTGTGATAAAATAATGATAATCTGTTGTATAGAAAGGTTTAAATACTTCTTTACAAGAATACCTGTACTTTTACACAAATTTACACAAATACCCGTACTTTTCAGCTTCATCACCTTATTTTGGTTCATTTTTAGCCATTTATCTTTTAATTTCTCTCAGTGTTTTCTACTGAAAGCTGTTTTCTAATTTTATACAGAATATTGGGAATTATTTGGGGAATACGGTTGTTTCTTTATATCGGAAGATATTGAGTTGCTGTGGAAACAATTATCTAATAAAGAATTAAGATTTCTTAACGTCTCTCGTTCCCATTTAGTAGCTAGTATTTGTATCAGGTTAGTGATACTAGAAAAATAGAGCATTTATAACAGTCTTGTAGTTATTCTCTGAGGTCCTGGTGTCCAAAGGAGGGGAAGAGTTGTACCTGTTTCCTGTTCAGCAGAGGCAGTGGGACTCTCTAATCATGTTCAAGACTGTGTGGTGCCTACTGTATTTCAGAAAATTGTGCCTTTCTTGGTACTTGATTTGACTTTTTCTTTTATTTTGGGCCTTTTTACTGACTTCTCTAGCTTCTGCAGGTAATCTCACTGCCTGTATCGCTCTTTATTCTTACCATCATGGCAAAGTAAATACTAATATCAGTATCAATGCAAACACACGAACACAAAGTCTTCTTAAGTAGGGACAGCTTTTTTTTCTTTCTTTTTTTAATTCAAGACGGCTTTGCCCTATCAGTCTCATTCTGTTGTGACTGGACTATATCTGAAAATCTTTTCCACAAGTACAGCATGCAAACACTAACTCTGAAGATGATATGGAAGATTACACAGATTGTGGTTGCCTCCAAAATGGTTTGCACACTTTGCAAATCCATAGAGAGAGGCAACTCCTACCATTAAAAGCATATATCCCAAAAGCACAATTGCATTTTCATTTGAAATCAGTCTTCTATAGATACACAGCTGTTTAAACGCATGATGTACCCTGGGCTGTGTAGAGAGCAGTGTTCTGAGGCACTGAAATAACATTGCTTTTTTTATTTCCCAGTTAATAGAAAATTACTGTATGTGGTATTCTAGAATTTAGGGGAAAATTAAGAATTCCAACATCCAGTGCCTTAATATTGCACCTCTATGAGAGCAGAAACTTCATCAGAAATCTGCGTGTGGGCACGTGTGTGTGCTTTTTGTAAGAAAAGCAGTGCTTTTTGGCATTACAGAACAGGCTGCTGAAGGAATGGGACAGTCCCATGCGAAGTAGAGGGAAACAGCCTGGAGCTTGTGCTTTTTCCCTTAAATGGGCAGCCCGGCTCCCTGCTCTTGGCTGACACAGGCAAAGGGGGGGTGAATCTAACAGATTGCTCTGCCTTATCCCAATGAGTTTCATTTCAGAGCTAATAAAACCACAGTTAAAATCTTAATTATCATCTATGATGTGGCCAGTCTCAGATCTAACCTGGTGGGGTTTCAGAAG